ATTCCTGCGTGTCTATCGTATTTATATATAATTTGTAAAAATCTAAAAATAAATAAATGGAAACTATAGTTCTTATTTATGGTTTTTTGATGGAACTACACAATTCCCTTATAAATAAACTAATATTTTATTTATTTTAATAAATTTTCTTTAAAAATCAGTTTATATTAATATTTTTTAATCTAAGCCTAGTTATATATATTTATATTAATATTTTTTAATCTAAGCCTAGTAAGTCATTCCAAGTTAACTGCTGTAAAAAATAAATAATCAAAGTCAAAAGGTAAGTGTGCCTCACTGTATTACCCTCAGTCCAGCCCCCTTTTCTGACTTGCGGTTGTGCCTCCTTTTGCAGCACCTCCTCCCCCTTTCAGCACAGCATCAAGTTCCTCACCACATCATCATCATCATCATCGGGTTCTCTTCTTGTGCTTTTCCCCCCATTTTCTTCACCCTTTTCTTTTATTATATTTTTTTTTTAGCCTTTTTCCACAAAGTCAACGTTCTTGTCGTTTTCGCAGCTGCTTCGTTTTGCCATTGCCCCTGATGGGGGGAAAAGAGTGAGAGAGAGTGGGGGGTGTGGCACAGGACAGCAGCCTATGCTGGGGGGCGTGTGTATGAATATGGGTGTGTATCCATGTCTGTGTGCGTTTTGGAGCTGGGCAAGATTGCGGCACATGTGACGCTTTGGTCGCGTGCTGCCTTTCGCTCCTCATCTGGTCCTCTGGGTACTTGCTGCTTTTCCAACTCCACCGCCCTCGTTGGCTAACTCTTCTCTTAAAGCGCTAGAAAAAAATTAGTATCTATTATTTATCATTTTCTTTATTTCCTTAAAACAATTTCTGTAGCTATATAAAAACATAATTCTGAAAAATCCCAATCAATGGAGTTTATATAATTATTAAAGTAAAATTAATACGATATATATTTAAAATAAAATAACAAATACAAATTTAAAAATTTAAAGATATTTTTCCCAGTGCTTGCAACTCCTGCGCTTGCTTCATTTGCAGTTGCAATTGGCATGGGCGCATCTGAAGGGGGGCCTACTTCGGGGGGATGGGCTGCTGCTTCTTCTGCTCTTATCAAGAGCAGGTCATCGGGAGATGGCAGATGCTGATTGCAGGCGGGGGGGAAGACCCATTCCTTGATGGAAATGAAAAATGGGTGGCCACAGAAAGTGTAACATCTTCAAGGGAAAATAATATTTATATTGCTGGAAAAGTGAGTTCATGGTGGGGAAAATGGGGCTCTAAATCAATAAATTGATAGGGGAGCGACACAGCCACATCCTGGAGACACGCCATCGCACATCTGATGATGGGATCCCAAGGCACAAGTGCATTTTCTTCCAATTAAAATGGTTTCTAATCGTTTAACAAACCATATAGCACTTGTGCGATAGGTTAAAAAGAAGCCCTTTTTAAATTTTTAAAATAAAATATGAAATATTTTTGAAATGAGGAAAGCTGATATTCTTTTAAATGGAAATTAAGCGTTTTTAATTATTTGAATCAATCGCTATATCAATCTCTAGATCGAATCGTCTGCTGCTGCTTATCTAAAACAAGCATACTTTTCAGGGTCAAAAAAGACCGCTTTCTTCTGGCTCTTATAAAACCCTGAAAGGATATAAAAAGACGTAAGATAAAGGAATAATATATATTTTCCTATTACACACAGATTTTATAAAGATTTCTCTTCTTGAATCTTTCACTTTCCTTTCCCTCCATCTTTGTCTGTTGCTTTAACTTTATGATTTAAGTGACGAAAGCGCGAGTGCTTAATTTAACGGTAATTTGCGTAGAACACACTTACCATCCCGCTTCCACCTTACTATCTCGCCATCTTGACATCTCACTTTGCAGTTGCCGCTGCGCAGGCGCACAATTTATTATTGTTTAGCTTGCGCCTAATTGATTGATCCCGTTGCTGCTACTGCTACTTATTGCAAATATGAATTAATATTTATTTTTATTGAAGTGAGCGGCACAATTTTTTGCGTAGCGTAAAAAAAAAAAATAAACTCAAGTTGAGTGCAGAAATTTATTTGTTTTCATTGCTATTGTTGTTGCTTTTGCTGTTGGGCTGCAGAAATTGTGTAATAAATAATTTACGCTCGCTTTTGCAGCGTGCCACATAATCATATTCAATAATAATAATAAAAGCACCAGCAGTAACAACAGCAATCTCCCCCAGTTAAAGGGGTATTTGTATGGAGAGGAACAAAGACGGACATAGAGCTCAAGAAGGAGATAGCGAGACGGAGGGCGGGCAGCTTGTTTGGGTCGCTGACCCAGAAATGTCAAACGGGGAAGTCTTTTAATTTTTATTTCTCCATACTCCAATTGTTGAGCCTCTATGGGGGGGATGTATTACTTGGAGAGTTGATTTGTTTAAATTTTTAGAGTTTTTATTTTAATTTTCACATAATTTATAACACAAAATGGCCTCAGAAAAAATGTAGAGCCCTTCATCACACATTTATTGAAATGATTTCACCATGACCACTTCAAGTACCTCTTATCTTCTGTCAGAACCCCTTTAATATTCATTTTTGATGGCTTGCACAATCTTGACAAATGCAGAACACCAGCACCTCCTTCCCAACCACACCCCTAATTCATCATATTTCTGTTTACTTTTTGCTTTATCCCCAGCCAATTCGACGACAAAAAGCACTCATATTACGCTTAATCAGTTTCGCTTGGACATTTTCATTCCTCAAGTAATTGGAGTTCCCAATGAAAAGCATAAAAAAACAAGAAATTAAGAAAACCAAATAAAACAATCTAAAAAACATAAGCAAAGCTGAGCTGAGTAAAAACAAAAGAATAAATCACAACAATCGAGCCTCTTTTTCTGTGTTATCCCTGTTCCTGCCGCTCCCCCTTCCCATGCCTTCTTGCTTTTGGACTTCTTGTTGCATGCTCGCTCATGTTCATTTTTTTCTTATTTTTATGTGGATGTTTTGTTAATGTGTGAGTGTGTTTATGGGATACGTGTGTTTTTTTTTAATGAATTTCATCATGTTGGGCAATCCTTGCGTTATGCTTCGCAAGCTTATCTTTACTGTACGTTATCAGCATATTTTTTGACCTCAATTAACCTAAAAAGGTGAGAAAGTAACACTTAAAAATTATGTTTAAGGAAAAATTAAAGGATATTTGGAAAATAGCAATATATATACATATATTATAAATGTGGTAAATATTGACCTGAATTAAATCAAATTTACATTAAACTAATTTAAATTAAATAAGGTAACAATTAAATAAAAAACAAACGTGTTTTACTATATTGTCTAACTTCATTATAAGCAACAGATGCATTGTAAATATTGCAAGCATAATAACACCTGAACCGTTAACAAAAACGGTGTAAATTAAATAAGCCATCAAAATGTGATTATCACAATCGAATGTGCCATAAAATTTGGATTAAAAGCATAAATACAATTCTGCGCGTATTTCGTAATTTTTTTTTTAAGCATTTTCGCGCGCAAACTTGCCGGATGACAGAGACAGAGTTAAAAAGCGAAAAAGAGAAGGAAAACCTGTTTCAAGTGTGGGAGGGAGAGGTATAAAGCGGGAGAGAGACAGAGAAGTTGAAAACTGGTTTTCCATGCTGCAGTCAATTTTTGAAATATTGTGAAATTGATCGAAAAAAAACCAATATCCAAAATCTAAAATTCTAAAAAAACGCCTAAACCATGTGGCGGTATTAAGCACAATTATTTGTATTAATATCTTTATTTTAGCTTCCTTAAAAAAGGCTATTCAAATTATTTCATAAAATTGTAAAAAAAACATAAATTAATATAAAAAATAATAAAGCACTATAAATAATCTGTCAAAATTTCAATCATTTTTATTGGGCTCCATTTTAATTATGTTTTAGTCCTTTTGTTAATAAAAAAAACTGTTCATTAGTATTAAATTTATATCAACCTTTTACTACCGCTTCGGCTACTACCTTTTTATTAGAATTTACAAATCTGTGGTGGCTTCTACTCCTATTTTAGATACTTTTTATGCTGCGCTTTTCTGAGACCTCTTTAACGCTCGCTGGCTCGCTCTTTAGACTCTGCCAGCTCGCACTCTCTTTTTTTAAACAAATAAAAAATCATAAACCAAATGAGAGATAAAAAAGCAAAAACAAGAACAACGTGTAGAGAGCATTGTACAATCGCAGTTTTTGTTTTGCTTTGACGTTCGCTGAGCAGCGCTGCCGGCGTCACTGCCTCTTCTACTGCCTTTTCTTCTGCCTTTCTGCCTCTCCCACTGCTGGCTCTTCCTCTTCTTCGGCATTTACCTGCTCAACAAGATCTTTGTGCACTCACACACACAGACTGGCTCACAACCCAGCTGCCCACTCACTCTCAGTTGAAACAAGAAAGAACATTGCAATGAGAGTCACGACCTAAGGATACCTAGTCCTAAAGTAGCATTCATCAGTAATTCATTATAAAATACATTTGTACTTCATCAGTAATTCATTGATGACATGTGATTCTGCAGGAAGCTTACAGACAAGGATTATAGCATACTTTTGTGCCACTTCCGTGGCAAGTATCTAAATATTATTGATCCCGAGATTATACAATATCCCTTTCTCAAAAACTTTAAGAATAATAAATAAGATGCTTGATGCTCATAAAATGTATCTTATTTGTGGTCCCAAGATACATACATATCTGAAGCCAGACCGAGTGATAAACAATCTGTATCTTTGAGTATACCCTTGCACTCTACGCTTATCCGGGGTATCAAAAGAGCGAGATTTTTTATATTTTCATTTTTTTCACTCACTCTTTGTTGCAGCACTGCCTGCCCGACCCCCCAATCCATCAACTACCTGCATGCATGTGCATGTACAGGAGCGGGAGAGTGCAAGAGCGAGCGAGGGAGAGCAACTGCACTGGCTGCGGCCTACGTTGCGCCTACGCCGCCTCGCTGTCGCAGAGCACTCGCGCCGCTGCCGTAGTTTGAGGCTCCCTTGCGACCGCACAGTTCTTTTTTAGCCGCGGAGCCAGTAAGACGTGTTTTCTCCCCCAGAAGAACACACTACGCTCTTTCTTTGAGTCTGCGAGTGCTTCTCAAAACAATTAACAACCACAGCAGTAGGAAACAGAAACCATCGTGTCGGAAATTGTTTGTGTTTTTAAATAAGTTGCAGCGCGAAAAGCTTGATGAAAAATGCAAAAGAATCTGAGAAACTAAGCGAAAACTTGACTTGAGTGTTGGTTGATAAATCGAAAAAAAAAAAATATATATATATATATAACAACGACGAAAACTAATTTAACTAACAAAAAACTGCACAAAAAATGCGAAAGTTTTTAATATTCAAAATCTTGCACAAGAAATACAAAATCAATTAAAGTGAACTCTAACTGAAAGGTTTAAAACAAAAACCAAGAATAATAAACAAAATATAAAAGCCAGCGAAGAACAATCCGTAGAAGAGCGAAGCTAAAACAAAAAGCAGGAAGAAGCGGCAGGAAGGAAACGGGATAAAAAAGGAAGGAAGCACCCACACACACGCACCTACAATGGCCGTGCCCTTTTTTTTGCCCGAGGGCAGCACCGATGACGTAGCCTCCAGCTCATCGGGTGCCTCGGGCAACTCCTCCCCACACAACCACCCGCACAGCCACCCACACGCCCACAACCACAGCCATCCCCCGCTTTCTGCGCACTCCTCGAGCGCATCCTCCTCGTCGTCGGGAGTGTCCTCCGCCTCCTCCTCATCATCATCCGCTTCGTCCTCTTCATCGTCTGACGGCGCCAGCAGCGTCGCCTCACAGTCCCCGAACACCACATCCTCGGCCACGCAGACTCCGATGCAGTCGCCTCTGCCCACTGACCAGGTGCTCTATGCCCTCTGCGAGTGGGTCAGGATCTATCAGAGCCAGCAGAGCGGTAAGTTTAGAAAATGCTTTCAGGGATCTTAAAACTACTTCCTAGGTTATTTAACTAGTTTCTGAAAATCTTTTAAAAACTCAAATCTAAACATTTATATTTTCTAAAAAATTGAGACTATATTTTTTAAACGCATGAAACTTCGCACACAATTTAAAAATGTTTGAAGAATTAAAATATTTTTTTAAAATATAGCTATTAAATGTTGGGAACTATAATTTATTTTAAATATATATAAATTCAAGAATAATATAAAATTTCAAGAGTAAAACAAGTTTTTAAAGAAAATTAAGGTCTAAAATGATTTTTTTATTCAAACAAGGTAACTTCTTTTATTCTATAAATAAAAAATAAAATTCCTCTTGGAAGAAATTTGTTATTTATCAGATAACAAGAAGCGAAGATTTTATTCAAAAATATATTATTAATACCGTAAAAATTTTATAATTATTTATTTCTACCTCTTTATTCAATTCCCTGTATTAAGGGGTGTCAAATTCACAAAGAAGTATCTTGACAGGCAAGAAAGTTTTACGTTCGCATTTTAAAATGGGTCAGCAATTAGCCAAGTTGCTGTTGTGACGTTATTTGTTAACTGCTTCAGTTCTCCCCGTGCAAGTTTCACTTTTCAAGGTTGTTGACTCATCCAACCCAGTGATCCCAGCTCTGTGTTAACTGCCTTTATCCAGGTTGTTTTTATTTTTTGTCGTATTCTTTCGTATTTTTGTGTATGGTCAGGTCAGCACTTTGTCAGCTTATCAGCAAAAAAAAAAAAAAAAAAAAAAAAGGGAGAGCGGAAGGCAACACGAAATTTGCATTAAATTACACGGCCAAAGTCGAAAGGAAGCCGCAACCGAAAATGGTAATTCAATAAAAATTAATCGAACGAGTTCAAAAAGGGGAAAATTGAGACGATTCGATTGGGGGAGAGGGCTGAGTTGATCAAATAAACTGGAAGACACAAAAATGCAAAAACGTAAACATAAGGATTTACTCAAGAAATGGATCAGGTGACAATGATCTTTGGAACAGTTTTGTAAACAAAAGGGGTTATTTGGCCAGTCAAAAATACCATTTTGGATACTCTGAAGTATCTTTATCATAACTCCAAGATTTATGAGGTGATTATCTTATAGTAATAACATTAAGTTAGCATTATTAGCATACTCAATAAATCACACATCCAAATGCCTTGCAAACTTAAGATCAATATCCCTGAACACCCCGAAAATGGGCGCATAAATCTCCCGCCAATCCCGACTAAGATCTGTTAAGGTGGTAAGCCTCTGCACAAACACCGAGACAGATGCAAGACAACCGCCAACTTGGCTGTCATGCGATATTAGCCGTATTTCTTGGCACAAAGTTGGGCGTGTGCGCTGCTGGACCAGCAAAAAGCAAGAAAAATAAAGACCCGACCCGGGCACATAAGCAAAAAAAAAGGTAAACCCAGAGAGCTGGGAGCAAAAGAGCTAAGCACGTTTAATTGGCACGCGCCAAGCTCGACTCGAGTCGAATGTCTTACTTCTAAGTGCGCTATATAGTATCTGCTGGATACATATGTATCTGCATCGCAATACCCGGCCGTATCTGTGTTACGGTTTGGCTAACCCAAAATTATTAAACGCCATTTGACCTTAGGCAGCTTGTTTTCCGATTTTCCTCGCGCGGGGCAAACGGGTTTGAGGGTGTGGGGCCATTTGCAAAGTGTTTGACTTAACGGTGCTTTAAGTAGCTTTTGTACTCGGCCACGTTGAGTGCGGTCAGTTTTTGTTTTGTTTTGTGTTTTTATCTGAATTTTTGCGCGCTTTTCATGTTTGCTTTGCGGTTTTTCATTCGCGTTCCTTAATTTTGTGTGTGTTGCCTTTGCATAATAGATTTTGTCGCTGTCGATGATTGCCAGCTGCGGTCTAGCAGCAGCTCCATAAATTTTTGTTTTATTTTATTTTCATTGCTTAATTTTTTTTTTTCGAGCTCTTACCTTTTTTTGCGACTGTCAGCAACAATTGGTCAAGCCAAAAATAAAAATAGAGTTCCCTTCTCGGTTTTTAAAGTGACTCACTTTTGGGCGTTTCATGTTTTTCCTTATTTAATGTCATATTTCATAACTCTTACTTTGTAGTATATCTATTTTTTTCAATTTAAGCAATTTAAATTATTTTAAGTTTTATTTATTTATCATTTTAATTACTATCTTCAGTATTTTTTGTATCCTCTTATTATTTAAATTCCCCTCGCTATCTTTAATTCCTTAAAATCCAACTTCCTTATCCCTGACATGGCTCCTCACTTGTGGATCATGTACTACTTCAGTGAGCCACTCAAGTGAATAATTTATCTAATAGTGACACGTCCCGAAACTAGTGAAGAACACGCTACGGGCACTTGAAACAAGAACAGGATAAACTGTCGTTAACCAAGATGCGAGCACCCTTTTTCCTGGTTCCCCTAGCCATTTTCCCTACATCCAAGCCTGAATACTTTGGGCCGCAAAAGCGCTTAGTCATCAGGCAGCTACCAACCCTAAAAGCCTAAAAATGCGAGGCGCAAACAACCCCGACGAAAAATTCCTAAATACCAAAAGAGCTTTTCCGTACCAAAGGACAAAAACCAGGACGAAGGCAGAGAGGGAGTGGGAGAGGAAGAGGGAGTCCTTTTGTTTTGGGAGAGGATTAAGCCTCCAACAGCATCCCAGCACACACTCACACATATACACCACACATCCCATTCCAATTGGTATCCAACAAAGGGTGCAATGACAGCAGTTGTTCCTAATAAGTGATGGGAAAATGTACATCCTTTTATTTTAAGTGCACCAATATCTATACTGTAATTTTCATATATAATTTATTTATTATATACATCGAGATTTTTATAAATTGAATTAATTGTAATTTATAACCTAGTACCACCTAAAGATACTTCCCATCTCTGACTTTCCTCCCAAAAATCTTATCTAACCTCAATTTTTGGCCTCTTCGTTTTGGCCCGCAAATTCGCATCATTTTGCCTGGCTCTCTTTTGGCTTTTGTTTTCGCTGTTGCCAACACACAGCTGTTTTTTGAGCTGCTAGGCGTTGTTTTCGCTGCCGGCGTCGCTGTCGCTCTTGACATTTTCAACCATTTTGTTTTGCTCGGCAACTTCGTTGATGGCTCTGCCAGGCCTAACGGTAAGAAGGCGGCATAATGGCGGCGAAAATGGCGTCTCCTGCCGCATCCTGCCTGGCAACAACAAAGCACAGCTGACTGCTGCGCATGAAAAGAGAGCAAGGGCCCAAAGCCAATGAGGTAGGGAGAGAGAGAGGCTCCGATTAACCGCAAGTTTTTGCACTCTTCGTTTTTTGTACAGCCTATCCCAAACGGGGGGAGGGGGGGTTGAGAATGGGCAGCCAAAGAGAGGCGGCGGATAGGTGGTTGCGCCTCTGCTTTCATCATCATCATTTGCATCTCGATTTGTTTGGCCTGTTGCCAAGCTGTTTTATATATGCAGCGAGCTTTTTTTATGCCAAGCTATATGCGCTTCGATATATATATTTTTCAGTTTGCCTTTTATTTATTACTTTTTCTGTTGTTACGTTTTTTTTTTTTTGCCTTTGCATTGACCGTGAATCTCATTTTGCCCTTTACTTAGCTTTTCTCATGGAAATTGATTTGAATCTCTGGTAATTGTTTCATTTAATTTAGGTTCTTGTTTTGAAATGCTTTTATGTTTTTTACTCTTTAGTTTTTTATGAGTTCATAAATTCTCCATAAGCTCTTTTTGATGATCTTCCCAAAAATAAAAACAGCTGCGACCCATAGTAAAATCGGAAATATTTTACTGGACCATTATTTGCTCATAAAAGTTGAAAGTAGTTTGCCAGCTGAATACTTTTGGCAACACATGTGAAATACATTATTTTTCAAGCTTAGATTGAAAATTCTTTCCCTAAATAAGCCAAGTTATTTATGAGTATCCCTTTGCCTAAAAGACCTTCACTTTAAATAGGCTGAGTAATTACTTACAAAAGAAAACGAAGCTTTTTTTAAATACTACGATTAATTCCATCCTCTAATTAGGGAGTTTTCCAACTATTCAATTTCCCCATTGGATCTCTGTTTTGTTTACAAACATTTAACACCGTTCAGCGCAATGAACTTTACACGTTTTTCAAGTTTAAATGGCCGCCAGGCGACAGGCACTTTGCCTAATAAGAAAAAGTCAACCTGAATGGCAAAGCGCAGCACATAAACTTGACACTTTGGAGGCACTATAAAAAACGCGCAACACACAGCTGTATGTGTGTGTGCCAGGATCTGGCTAAGTTGGCTTTTGATTAAGTCTCCGCCGGGGCCGTGCTAAATTGTTTGCATTGAGGCGTTCGTTCGGGGTTAAGTTGGGGGCGGCGTCAGGTGGTTAAGGATAGTCTCGTCCTGCCGCCGAAACGTGCTCAAGTTTTTGTTATGAAATTGAGCCTAGACAAGCTACAGCAAACGCCACCTATCCATCCTTGACAACTCGACAACTCGAAAACTCCTTTTCAACAGCCGAGGACAAAGGAACTTGGGCGACGCGCTCAGGGCAAAAGTGGAAAAGGATATGTATCAAAAGGCGGAAAACTAAGAACAGGATATACCAACTCCTCTTCACAGAGAACAGAAAACAGAGACGGCAGACAGGCTGGCATACACCTGGCTACTTGTTATAATTGCCAAGGTGGCAAATGCTACAGACATTACTAAGAACTTTAAGATTTTCCTCAAAAGGAAAGTTCGCTAGACTAGGAAAATTCTAAGAGATTTTTAAAGGATTTATTTCTATATATATATATATTTTTTTTAATTGATTTGAATTACTTTTCAACTTATACCTTTTCCCATTTGTGAGTAATTCAAATTCAAAGAACCTCCTCCCAACACTCCTATTTCTGAGTATCCATTTCCATTTCTTTGGTAAACAAATCAAATGCGATTACTAAATGTGCAAACAAAGTGCCAAACGACAATTAAATCAACAAATAA